CGACAAGGACACTAAAACACCTAAGACAGTACCCAAAGCATCATTAGCAAGTACTAGCAACGTTGAGGAGTCAAATCCTAAAAGCGAGGAGGAAATCACTCACCCGCCAGAAGACAGAACAGCAATGCTCTCCAGAATTGGGAATGTGTCTATTAAAAATATTGCTATTCCTATGCCTGATAAGGACACCGCAGTGCCATCAACAGTACTCACTGCATTAATAGCCACTTCAGGCTATCCGGAGGAGTCAAATCCAAAGAGCGAGGAGGTGACCACCAACTCGCTGGAAGACAGTTTAATGGATGACCATGATTGAGGTTATCCAAATAAACCTCCATCGGAGCGAGACAGCTACCAACGCTCTGATGGCTAAAATCAACACAGGTAAAATACATATAGCTTTAATCCAGGAACCTTGGACGATTCGCAACAAGGTTTCTGGATTAAATCACGTAAATTTCCAACTTTTCTATGCTGATACAGGATCTCGCCCGAGAACATGTATCTTATGTCACAAGAACTTATGTTTTCTCCTCTCAACAGGATTATCAACATCGGATGCAACGGTGCTGAAGCAAGGTCGTGGCAACATATTCCTTGCATCTATTTACCTGCCTTTCGATTCTCCGACACTACCACCAACGTCGGATCTGATGAAACTGGTTGAAGAGGCACAAAGGAAAAATAAGAAAATTGTAATAGGTTGTGATGCCAACTCGCATCATGTAGCTTGGGGTAGTACAAACACCAATCGCAGGGGACAAGCCCTCATGGATTTCTTTAATACTAAAGACTTGATAACATTGAACTTAGGTAATAAAGCTACCTTCGTCAATAGAATCAGAGAAGAAGTATTAGATATAACTATATGTTCAGAAGAGCTTATAAACGAAATTCAGGATTGGAGAGTTTCGGACGAGCACTCCTTTTCTGATCATCGGTACATAAGATTCAAAATACTAAGGCCACCACCAAAGCCGATAAAGTTTCGGAATAAGTCTAAAACTAATTGGACAATGTTCGGGACCTTACTAAAGAACCGTTTAGGTCAGGACACTTTTCAATGTCGAAATAAAGAGGATATAGATGCCAAAGTGGAAACGTTCACAAGTGCCCTGGTTGAATCGTTCGAGGACAGCTGCCCTCTGCGAGAGCGGAGATCTGCCCAGGAAAAACCCTGGGTAACTGGGGAGATCCGGAACCTTGGGAAGACTCTTCGCAAACTATTTAACCGGGCACGGCGTAAAAAGACCGCAGTATACTGGGATGAGTATCGTAATAAACTTGGTGAATATAAGAAAATCGTTCGAAAAGCCAAACGAGACTCCTGGAAACTTTTCTGTGAACAGGTAGATAGCGTAAATGACGTATCGAAGATAAAAAAATTCCTATCCAAAACTCATGTCCAACCGGAATCTATGATCGATGACACGGGCAGGAGGCTTGAGGATATGGAGGAGACAATGAAACTCCTAATGGATTCTCATTTCCCACCCGGTATATCGAATAACATAGATGAACCGATATTGGAGGAAGGGGAGGGTAACACGGAAATAGTTATTACAACTGACATGGTTAAAGGGGCAATCAAGAGCTTTGCTCCCTATAAAGCTGCAGGGCCGGATGGAATTTTCCCGGCACTTTTGCAGATGGAGGCGGGACTGGTTTCCGTACATCTGTCACAGATATTCACTGCATGCTTAAAATTGGCATATACCCCAGTTAAATGGCAGGATGCAAGGGTAATATTTATACCCAAACCAGGGAAACCTAGCTATGCGATACCTAAGTCCTATCGACCGATAAGTCTTACGTCCTTCCTACTTAAAACCTTGGAACGGATAGTCGATAGCATGGTTAAAAGCAGCATACCATACAATGACCTTAAATATAAGCAGCATGCTTATGTAAAGGGACGATCGGTGGAAACCGCTTTAAATGAAGTTGTCCACTACATAGGTGAATCTTTCGATAGCAAACTGTATACACTGGCAGTATGCATTGACATCGAAGGCGCTTTTAATAACGTGCACACTGATACCCTTATCCAATCCCTAGACCAGTTTTATGTTGACCGGGTGCTCCGTAACTGTATCAACTACATGCTAAGGAACAGATGGATAAGCTGCGAGATGTACGATATAACTATCAGGAAAAAGGTATTTCGCGGTATACCACAGGGTGGCATTTTGTCACCTTTACTCTGGGTCACCACGATTAATAGCCTCCTAAGGACCCTAACCGAGAAAGGACTTAGACCTGTCTGCTATGCAGACGATGTCGTAATACTTTTAAAGGGAAAGGATCCAAATTACTTGTGTAGAAGAGCTGAGGAGGCTCTGAATACGGCCTTGAGCTGGGCTCAACCGAGAGGCCTCAATGTTAACCCGGCGAAGACGGAAATCTGTCTTTTCACAAGAAAGACAAAAATTTCTACATATACTGAACCTTGCTTCTTGGGCAAGAAGATACCGGTGACAGACAAAGTTAAGTACTTAGGTGTAATACTTGATCGGAAATTAAAATGGAGACACCACATAGAGGATAGGATCAACAAGGCACATCGGTGCTGGGCGATATGTAGGAGAACCATAGGCATGAAATGGGGTCTTAGTCCTACTATGACAAATTGGCTTTATAAAAGTGTAATTAGACCAATTCTAGCTTATGCTTCAATAATCTGGTGGACTGCTTTGGACAAAAAGTGTTATATCAAACTACTACAGGGAGTTCAGCGTACATGCTGCTTGGGTATAAGTGGTGCCATGTGTACTACTTCAACCAAGGCTCTGGAAACGTTGCTAGATATTCCACCCATTGAAACATATATAAGATATGAGGCGGCGCTTACAGCCGAACGGCTCTTTACTTTAGGCGAACTGGCCAAAAACGGTTATAGGACACGTCATCAATGTATACTGGACACATTGGAAGGTTATACACATTCATCGGACGTGCCTGATCGCATACCAGACACTGAATATGTCGGAAACTTTGAAACGCTAATCCCAGATAGAATGTCTTGGTCAAGCGGAACATTAGAGCAAATACCAGTAGGAATCCGTTGCTACACGGATGGCTCTAAATTAGGGGACAAAGTGGGTCTGGGGTTCTATATTGAAGACCCAGAAACAGAAATATACCACCGTTTACCTAATCATAACACAAGCTTCCAGGCAGAAGTACGAGCAATAACGGAATGTGTAAATTGGATTAGAATAAATATGGCGCCCACAGGGCTTAATATATTTACCGACAGCCAGAAGGCAATTTGTGCGATATCAGGTGATAGAATTAAATCTAAGACCGTATTGGATTGTAAGAAAGCTTTAACTGAATACTCTCCCAGAGGTAAGGTTCACATCATATGGGTACCAGGCCACTCGGGAGTAATCGGCAACGAAAGGGCGAATGTAATAGCTTTAAAGGGAAGGGAGCTCGATGTAGTTAACCTGACAAACGCAAAACCATTCGACGCAACAAAAGCTGAATTAAAAATATGGATGAGAGAATCCCATAAGGCCTCTTGGAATAATGAAACGGTGGGTAGAACCACAAAGATTCTATGGGGTGACCCTGATGAGAGCAAGACGAGAAATCTTCTCAAAATGAGCAAGTCTGAGGTTAGTATGATGGTACGTATTCTCAGTGGACACACAGGATTACGAGCACATCTATACAAAATTGGACGTGCGAATTCAGACGAATGTAGAGCATGTGGAGAGGACAGTGAAACTCTGGAGCACTTTCTTTGCCATTGTCAGGCATTCGTCGAAGTTAGATCCAAGTATCTTGGAAGTGATGTTATTCCGGAAATAACATTCTTAACTAACACCGATTGGAAGATTCTTAGGAATTACGTCCAGGAAACTGAGTTTCTGAACATTCAGTAAACAATTTTTTTTTTTTTTTCTTGAATTGGAGCGCACAACAGGCCCGATAGTGGCCTAGGTGCATTTCTTCGGATTTGATGTAGTGTATATCCTCCTATCAACCTAACCTAACCTAACCTAACCTAAGGTGAATTCTATATTTCGGGATAAGTTCGGTGCTGTTGCTGAAGACAACAGATAGCCCACAGAGGAGTGATTGTGGGACTAAGAGTTGAAAATTATTTGTGTTAATTGTATATGATACAGGATGAATGTATTGAATTTTCCTTCCTTGTCCAGGTATGTTCAGAGTAACTCTGTTTATACCAAAATTACCACAAATGTGTCACTGTGAGTAAGAACAAAGTCTCGGCTTATTGGATGGATTCGTACTTCGGTCTACCGGTTACGTCTCTAGGTGCTGTTGCAGTCTCAACGGAGGCCATCCCATCTGCGTGGTTGTTAACGAAAGTGATGTTTTGCATCTCGGAAGCTAAGCAACGGGGCAGCAATGATCAGAGTTTAGACAGCTCAAGTACTTGAGCAAAATGCACTCGAAATAAATCGAGAGAAATTATTACCAACACCAATAGCAATTAGTTTTAATAGAAGTACACCATGTCACACTCTATCACTCTATATCCAGAATAGAGTGACACCATTTTGATTCAAAAAATGATCAGATATCATGTGCTTTTTGATCATATTAGAACTAATAACGGATTAGAACTAAAAAAAAAACATTTTTACACTACTTTTTACTATTTCACACGATTTAAAAAAATTGTCTCCACAATTAAATGTTTTCTAAAATCAAATTAATTTCAAGAATTTGGAACATACATCATTTTCCAAAAGAAACACTTGATTGCTAAACATAAAACTTGTAATTTATTGCTTTCACAAGGAAAGTTCAGCATCAACCATATTTTATGTGTGGGAACAAAAGAAAATCATTCCCCCATTTTGGTGGGATCTAGTAGACACATGAAATAATCACTAAATGATCATGTCAAGACAGAATAAATGAGAGCGAAATAAATCGAATGACACTTTCTAAATCAAACACATGTTTAAAGAATTTAATGTTACAAGAAAATGTGTTTTTTGAAAACTATTTATTTGGAATATTTAAATTAAATAAGAAATTAGAAATTAATTACATGTTTTTATAAATCCGCATTAAAAACTAGCAAACAAATCAGCATGACGATTAACTTTTGATTTGTGTGGAGGTTTCGGATCTGGATATTTATCAAAATTTGATAAGTCCTCCACATTGGAAATGCGTGGTATATAGGGAGGTGGGATTTCTTGATTTAACAGAGCATACCAATCGACATTTTTGAACCACGCATGATCTTTTATATCTTTAATACCATTTATTAAGTTACCATATCTGGTATAAGAAAAAAATGCAATCGGAAATTATTGTGAAAATTCTAATTTCATTTACCTTTTCGATAAATCCACTTGCAGCAAATGATCTATTAAATCCTTTAATGGCGCACTAAAATAGGCGGGCATTTTATAGGTACCTTCACAAATTTTAGTATACATAACCATTACATCACGATTGTGGGGCGCAAAGGGTGAACTTCCTGCCACAAATTCATAAAGTAAAATACCAAAAGACCACCAATCCACACTGGTGCCATAGGGCTTTGATTGTATAATTTCGGGAGCCAAATACTCAGGGGTGCCGCACAAGGTAAGAGTGCGAGTTTCAACTTTCTTGATTTACAAAATATAACCATTTAATATGGGAATATAAAGTCCGAAAAATAAACTTACTTTGGCAAAACCGAAATCGGTAATTTTGATATAACCATATTTATCAAGTAAAATATTTTCTGGTTTTAAATCCCGATAAAGCAAATGCATAGTGTGCATATATTCCAAACCCATAAAGACTTGAGCAGCATAAAATCTGGCTTGTTTCTCGTTAAATTTACGAACTCTATAAACAATATTATAAATACAGAATAGGCCCTAAAGCAAAAGCTCTACTTACTTGCGATGATAGGTAAACAATTCACCACCGTTGACAAAAGGCAAACCCAAATATAAATAATCATAGTCCTTGGCAGAAAATTCCAAACTTATAAGAAATGGAAAATTAATAGCAGCCAAAACCCTTTTCTCATTATGAACATGGGTCACTTGTTTCGTTTTAACTATTTGATCTTTTACCAGAATTTTTACCGCATAATAATTGCCGGCATTGCGATGTTTAATCAGAACCTATTGTAGTAAAATAAAAGTTATTTCAAACTTGTATAAAAATCGAACATTTTAGAGACTACCACGCGACCAAAAGAACCCGCTCCCAGCGTGGCCAACTCATCATAGCCATCCAGACCGCTCTCGGGCGAAGGCTTGGGATTATCCCAGGCCTTATTAAATTCTTCGCGAAATTTTAACAATAAGTCATCATAATCCACACCGGGACTATAATATTTTGAAGGGGGCATACGACGTGCAGCTAATTTACATTAAACTTTTGAATTGAAATGTTAGTTGTTTAAAAAGGCAGTCTACACACCTTCAATCACACTGTTGGATCGCGCCGATAACTTAGATTTGCTGCGACGGTTTTCTATAGAGGTTTTGAGATTTTTCTTTCTTACATCGCCACTAGATTGTTGTCGACTTGTGTTTTGGTTGCATATAAAAAGATCGCGTTTAATTTTAGAGAAGGAATATTATATTAAACAAAAAAACTTACGGTTTCATGGCTTTAAAGATCAAAGTTTTCGGTAACAAAAATCCCGTGTTATATTTAATTTTTTTTTAATTTAGGATTTTTGAAACAATTTGTCATATGTAATATCCCAGTAAACATATCAGTATGAAAATGATTTCTTAACATTATTTTAATCGTTTTTATACCATACACCACTGGCTGGCTATCCATGCACAAGCTACAGGCCACAATTTTAAAGATATTTTGGACCATACGTGTTTTTCAGCACAGGGACGATGCCTATTGAAAATGGTTGAAATCGGTCTATTATTTCACCTAGCCACCATACAACCTGACCTTCTGATTTGATGGTTTTCACTCATAACTACGTCAAATATACTACTATCTCTCCAAAAATTGGTACAACTAAGTTCTATATACTTAGGCATAAATGATCATGATGATATAAACACCCCTCCAAAAAATAACTTGAACTTTGAAAAATTGACTTATAACCATTAGTATAACGATGCAATTCAGCATATTTAACCTTTATATCAAAATACATCCCTCCTCCTAATTAGTTGAGGATCCGCCCATATTTGACCCTAACTCCCATATAAAGCTTCTTTTAGAAATTTTGGTTTTCATCAATAAATTGCTTAAATTCATCGGAATTAAGGTAAAATTCAACATAAAAGTTTCTTTATGAAAAATAAATAATTTTTAAAATATACTCATGGTATAAGGTATTATACAATCGGCCACGTCCGATTATACTTTCCTACTTGTTTTTAGATCGGTTCACATTTTGAATACTCTTATGACAAGATAGCTTTATATGAAATTTCAATCAGTAAAATCATGCAAGATTTCCGAGAAAAAAATTTCTTAATATTTTGGATATTCTTTATGACCTCCATGATATATTCAACAATAATATATTCTTTATCGTTAACCCGATGGAAAATATTTCAATTCGCTCTTTATATTTTGGTTCCACATAACACCAGAGTAGTACCAAAGTATTGTGTCGCCATCTGTCATTAACTCTCATGGTTCCATGACGAATTACAGCGAACCAATGATCAACTTAACAGGGATGCATTTGATGGACTTATATAGGGCAGCCTGCCTTGAAGTAGTGCTCTAGGAGCTTCACTATACGAGAGTTTTGAGTTTTAATACCCACTATCAAAAAAAAATGGGGGGTATATTGATTTTGTCATTCCGTTTGTAAAACATCGAAATATTGGTCATAGACCACCAAAACTATATATATTCTGGGTCCTTTTTCAATTCTAAGAAGTTCAAGCCATGACCGTCCTTCCGTCTGACCGGCTGTCTGTTGAAATCACGATAGCGACCACATGGGAGGAGCTAGATAGCTGAAATTTTTTACAAATATTGCCTATTGATAAAGTTTGTTTGATATTGAAAATGGGCACTATCGGTATACGTTTTCGGATAGCCCCCATACAAGTGAACCTCCGAAAAACAGCTTTAACAGTCATAACGATTTAAAAAGTGCGATTGTAGCGATGAAATTCTCGACGCAAATAGGTTTTATATGAGCGAAAATCTCTCCAGAAAATTTTATGAGGATCCGTTCATAATTGACCCTACCCCCCATATAAGGTTCCTTCAAAAAATTACTACAACGCTTAATAATGGCCTTAAAATATGAATATAGTGATGAAATTCGACACACATAAGTTTTATATGAGACAAAATCTTTACAAATTGTTTTTTAAGGATCGGCCCATAAATGACTACTCCCATATAAGGTCCCCTTCTGAAAATTACTTTAACACTCATAACTGGCTAAAAATACAAAAATAACGATGAAATTTAACATAAGTCTAAGAAATTTTATGTGGATCGGTCCATAATTGACCCTACCCCCCATATAAGGCCCCCTTTAGAAAATTACTTTAACGCTCATTACTGGCTTAAAAATACGAGTAAAGCGATGAAATTCGACACACATAAGTTTTATGCGAGCCAAAATCTTTCTACCAATTTTATTTTTTTTGGAGAATCGGCCCAAAAATGATCCTACCCCCCATATAAGGCCCCCTTCAGAAAATGATTTTAACGCTCATTACTGGCTAAGCAATAGAGTATAGCAATAAAATTCGACACAAATGAGTTCCTCTCGAGCCAAAATCTCTCTAACAAATTTTATGTGAATCGGTCTATAATTGATCCTACTCGCCATATAAGGTCCCCTTCAGAAAATTACTTTAACGGTCATTACTGGCTTAAAAGTACGGGTATAGCAATGAAATTAGAAACAAGTTTCTAACGTACCACAACCTCTCCACTGACAATTACGAGAATCGACATATGATTGACCCTACCCCCCATATAAGGTGCCCTTCAGAAAATGACTTTAACGCTCACTAATGACCTAAAAATACGAGTAAAGCGATGAAATTCGACACACATAAGTGCCAAAAAACTCTCTTCAAAATTTAGTGAGGATCGGTCCCTAATTGGCGCTACCCCCAAATTTAGTGAAGGTCCGCTTCAGAAAATTTCTTAAACGATCACTGCTGGCTTAAAAATACGAATTATGAAATACAGTTATGAAATTCAAAAAATGCGAATACAGTTTTATATGAACCCAAATCGGTGTACAAAAAGTTATGAGGATCGGTCAATTATTGACCCTATCCTTCATATAAGGTTCTTTTCTGAAAATTTGATGAAAATCGACATAAAAAAGTTTATATTTAGGAACAAAATTCATAAATGAGGATTGATTTATAACTGATTACGGCATACGGTTTGATGGTGGGTATATGAGATTTGGCACAGCCGAATAACACTCTTAGGGCCAATCTTTAGGTGAAAGATTAGCGATTAAATTAAAATTAATCCTCGAAAGATGTTTTTGAGTACTCAATTAGTTAATTTTGTTTGCAAGTTTAAGCGCCCAATGGAGGTGGTTTAAACTTAAGCACGAAATGCAAAAGTGTAAACAGCTGATGCAAAAAAAATAATACAATTTTTATAAATATAAACATTAAAATGATCTATTTATTGATTAGTATAAATTATGGACACTTCAAAATACATTTTTTTGTTTTTAATTTAAGTTTTCAGTAATTTTCATATTAAATTTACAATTGTCTTCTTCTTTTTTATAAAATATGCATTGTTTTGATAACAAACAGTGAAGTTTTCTGTTGTTTGTATGGCAACACTGCGAAGTTTAATCTTGTACTCAAAAACATCAAAGGGGATTAACATAAGATTATATTTATTTTTAGATCAACTAATCTGATTATTAATTGGCATTTGATTACCATCTCAAAAACCCGCTCTTACTTGTTTTAATTAAAAGCAAGGTTAACTATCGTTACCGCTAAGCTATTATACTCTAACCTTATCAACAGGGTTAAGACGACCATAAGGCCTTTGTACTGAAGCAGTCCAGAGTCTCTGGTGGGAATCAAAATTATGCGTGAGATATTAAATTTGTAGGATCTATTTTTAAAATTTAAACTCGATTGCTCCTCGGTTACGTCAAATTTTATATCGATCGGATCAGACAGTTTTTTTCTCAAAAAATTGATGTTTTAAACCATTAATAACTTTATTAATTATTTATTAATATGCGGGATAAATCTTTAGCTGAAATTCATGAGTAAAATTTAGATTTTTAGTTTTTTAATTTCTTTTCGATTCGCTGAACTAAAATGATGTTTATAGTAAATTTGAAATTCTTTTCATTTTTACGATCAGATTATTGATAAAATGTTGCAACAATTGCTAGTCGCACTAAAAACTAAATTCGTACCAAGTTTTATTACCTCTGCGGCTAAAAATACAAAAAAAAATACATAAATGTACATGAGTAAAACTCATATAAACATTTGCTAAAAGCCAATGGATTTTAATAAAATCGTAACAACAACACAACGGAAATATTTAATGGATTACAAACAATATTTTGTCACAAAATATTTAAGTTTAATGCAAATTATTTTGGCGTTGCAAACCGAAGAATAAAATGGTCACAAAATTAAGAACCTCCCATCAAACATAGACAAACTCTGTTTTTTACACACCCACATATACATATGTATGTAATTTTCTAATGCAATTAAATTCCTGCAGTTCGGGGTATCGATCCCCACTCTGCCTATTTCTATCTAACAGACTTCACTTCAAAAGTGCTCTCAGGGACACTATAGCAAATTGAGGATTTGCATGATCCATGCATTACTTAGATACACTTACGGAAAATTGAGAGATTTAAGTCATTGAAAGAGTATCGAGTTAGCCATGTTAGTATAAGGCTCCTTGTAAAACTACTGGGATATTTGTATTTTTAAGTGTATGAGTGTGTGTAATCCATGTGAATAAGTATGTGGCATGCATTTGTGTTGCATTTAAGTAGTGGTAAATATTTTTAGTGTATATTCGGTCATAAAAATATGGGCCATATAAAATACAATTTATTAGCGAAATGGCTATAATTTTTGCAACAAAAACATCTATATATTTGTTGCCGTCACATAAGTAAAACAAAAAAATAGATGGCCAAATGTCAGACATTAAATATCGGTTTATCTTCCCAAAATATCAAAAAAATCGCAAAAAATTCAGCTTTCACCAGTTTTGTTTAGGTGGCCATTAAAAATCAATTAATCTACCACATGATACAAAATGTTCTATTTATTTTCTATTTTCTAGTTGCAATTTCCTGCTTGTCATCATGGCCAAAAATCACCATTTTGTAGTATGTTTTTGTAACAATTGCTGATGTCTGTTAAAAATCAAATATAAATGTGACATCACCTTGTCATAAATTGTTGTGCAAAAAAGAAAGTGTAGCAGCCCATTGTTAAGTAATTTGTGGCGTACGTTCACAAGGAAGTCAATCATAAAATGTCCATTATCGTTGGAGACACGAAATGTGGGAATGATGGATTTGAAGTGACATTTTCATCCTTACATGTTAAAATGAAAATTAAAGTAAGAAACGAATATAAGGAAATCCCACATAAAAAAACTTTACAATGTAGAATTTATTTGCTAAATTAATTGATAACACAGGACAACAAAATCTGAAATAGTCGGAATCCGAAGGCCGAAGCAAAAAATCAATCAAGTTTAGAATAACTAACTAACTAACTAACT